ACTAGGGTTGGGGATTTAGCTCAGCGGTTCGGTGGCCTGCCTTGCAAGCACAAGGACCCAAGTTCAATCCAGGGTAACAAAAAAAAAAAAAAAAAAAAAAAATGGGTAGTGATTTATCAAGTTTCACCTTTACTGGTACTTTCAAAGCAATGAATTGGAAACCAGCAGCCATAGAAAACGTTTTGCTACACAACTGTTAACATTTGTTTCTTGACCCTAAAGATGTTTTACTGTCTAAGAAGTTTTCTTTTGTAAAGTGGAAGTATCCAAGTAAGCAAGTCTTGTGTGCTAGCTCATCTCTTGGCAGATGAGGTGTAGTAAAAAAGGAAGTTGAAAATTTGAAAATTGGTTTCCTCGGAATATTTATGGCTCTATACTTTTTGCAAAATAGTCATACATATGTCACAATCTTAAAACCCATTTATCTAAACTAGTTCTTCTTTTCTTGCCAGTGAAAGTACAAAGCCTGTTTTTGGCTTCATGACTAGTAGATGGTGTCTTTAATGAATGTTTCATTTCCCTCCCAACTTGATGGTCTCACAGCTATCTTTCCAGACTCAGTTCTGGGTTATAAGTAGTTATTTTAGCGTATGAATAGTTAGGGATTTACCTCTTCCATGAAGGAATCTGTTGTTCACCTGTCTCTTGCATTAGACTACATGTAGAGGCATGTAGGGACAAACTCATCTTTTTGTCACTAGCACTTATATACATCATCTGACACCAAGTAGGTCTAGTCTGGTGAATTAATGAATGCTCTCAACAGTAAAATATTTATTCTTATTTTATATCTTTATATATATAAATTAATATGTGTTATGTATATTTTTTGTATAAGGTCTAGGTAAATTTTAGGAGTAAATGTTAAAATTCATAAGTATCCAGGAATCACTCCATATATACTTTGTTAGAATGTATAAAATTTAGTGTAATATACTCTGAAAGGTTATTTTAGGAAAAAAGCATAGAGCAATTGGTAATAAATATTACAGATTAAAGGATACATTTAACACACTCCTGAACATTTAACATATTTGTCTTAACTTTGTTTTTTAGGGATGGCTTACATGTAGCAGTGAAGATTGTAAAAAATGTAGGCCGTTATCGTGAGGCAGCTCGTTCAGAAATCCAAGTATTGGAGCATTTAAATAGTACAGATCCCAATAGTGTCTTGTGAGTATAAGTCTGAACTATGAGCCACTGTGTTACTTGAAATAATCAGAATTCTGTGAACTCAATTATTATTTTGATCTCTTTTAGTCGATGTGTCCAGATGCTAGAATGGTTTGATCATCATGGTCATGTTTGTATTGTGTTTGAACTGCTGGGTCTTAGTACCTATGATTTCATTAAGGAAAACAGCTTTCTGCCATTTCAGATTGATCACATCAGGCAGATGGCATATCAGATCTGCCAATCAATAAATTGTAAGTATACTTGATAAATCTTTATAAACCAGAGATTTTTTTCTCATTATATAAACAATATATCAAAACTTGTCACTGTAAATACACATAATACAGACAAAGATGAAACCTTTTTGGACCACCATATCCATTGCTAATTCCCCTTCACCCCTTCCAGTATCAATTACATTTTGAAGTAAAACTAATAATGTCTTTTTTTCTTTGTAGTTTTGCATCATAATAAATTAACCCATACAGATCTGAAACCTGAAAATATTTTATTTGTGAAGTCTGACTATGTAGTCAAATACAATTCTAAAATGGTAAGTTAAATACTTGTTTTAATTTTGGTGGTTTTCCTTAAAATTAATTTTGCTTGGTTATCCTTGAGGAGTTTCACTTCCAAACCTTGTTATACTCTCATGTTTAACCATTGGGGGTGTGGCTCAGTGGTGGAGCACTTGGGTAGCACATGGACGGCCCTGACTTTGATCCTCAGCATTGCCAAGGAAAAAAAAAATTCCTGTTGAGCCTTTTTTAGTAGTGCTATAAAATACTTTATGCTTTTAGTGAGTTTCACGTATATTCGATTGTTTTTCTTTAGAAACGTGATGAACGCACACTGAAAAACACAGACATCAAAGTTGTTGACTTTGGAAGTGCAACATATGATGATGAACATCATAGTACTTTGGTGTCCACGCGGCACTACAGAGCTCCAGAGGTCATTTTGGGTCAGTAGACATTGGATTTATACTGTAACTGAAGTACAGCTTTTATTGGGGAGGGGAAGGATGTGGCTAGAATGATCTGTAGTGGGTTACAGATCACATTTTGTGTTTTCATAAAAACTGTGGGCATTAATATATTTTTCCTGACTGATAAATGTAATACCAATAACTCAAGTAGTGGTTATTTTCCAACAAGGTAATCTTAAATTGATATAAAAGGATAGGTTCTGTTAGCTAAGTGCATCATAGCAATGTGATTTTGAAGTTTTGTAGGTACCTATTTTCACACTGCAACAAAGGTAGGATTCTGGTAAAAATGCTAAGGGTTTGATTGGTAGACTCTACTCAGAGTAAAGAACGAGGGTCCTGTCAAGAGGAGTGTCTGTGACAGTCATCGATAGGAGAAAGACTAGAAAAGAAAATGAGTTAAGGTGAAGTTTTTAGAATAAGGTGGAATTCAGTAAGGGAGTGTTTGTGTTATGCCTCAAAATTTGTATGCTTAAAATTTAAAAGTTACAGATCGGGTCATATGTTAAAGGTGAGGTGGGGTCTTGGACATAATGGGAGTTCATATAAAGTGCTAGTGAGAGGAGTTCCAAATGTAGTCAGTCAAGGGAGAGTTGATAAAAATCTGAGATTGGTGTCTTTAGCCTTGAGGAGAAGGAATCTGAAGATTGGGAGAGTCGAAGCATTCCTTGTGTTTGTGGAGTAATCCTGAGGGTGAAGGCAGAATAGGGTCAGAGAGGAAGATATAACACGTCAGTGTTGCAACGGAAGGAAGGCAGATTGTGTTGGATGCTGACAGTGAACAGGTAAGTTTGGAACAGGGTGGGCAGACGAATGATGTGGGATTGGAGAGTACCAGAAGTGACTTGTCCACAAATGGGATCATGTTCTGCAGAAGGTTACAGTCACCTGGTAGAAAGTGATGCAGTATTAAGAACTGGGTGTGGAGTTGATTTGCTTTTGGTACCAGGGATTGAACTTGGGACCTTGTGCTTTTGAGGTAGGCACTGGCACCACTGAATCACTGAGCTAAACCCCTGGCCCCAAGAAGTGGGTGTGGTTGAAAAAGAAAACTTTATCTGGGGTCTAGCTTCTAGTGTTTGTAGGTTCTGTAAGTGCTGACCACAAGTCAACGCTGTGGTATATTATCCAGATATTCAAATGATGTGCACTGTGGGGCTAAACAAAAATGACTTGTCACAGTCAGGGCCTTTGAATATAATGCCTTTTCCTTTGTCTTTAACTCCAGTGGTATTACTGAAAGTCTTTTAAAGTAGGTTGTATTTTTGTATTACTGATTTACCAAATATTTGATCCTGAGGTTAAAATGTTTATATGGATGCCGGGGATTAAGCTCAGTGGTGCTGCCACCTGCCTTGCAAGCGCAAGGTCCAGAGTTCGATCCCCAGTACTGTTGTGGAAGGAATTGGCAAGTGACACATACAAAGAGACAAGCTGAATGGAAGTAAAATAATAAAAAGTTTATTTTGCCTGCAAAGGATCAATTGCACTCAAAAAGGCAGTGCCAGTGGTCAACCTCCTATTGGGTTGTAGCTTCTTCTTTTAATAGGTTTTACAGCTGTGATCTCATTCAGGTGGTTACAGTTCATTTCCTCAGTTCACATTACCCATGTACAAATTATAGTCACCAGACAGTTCACTTTAACCCAGATGTAACAATTCCTTGTAGTTAGGGAGTTTACCTTGAGATTCCTCTAGCACTCTATTCTAGTGCACAGGAAGAGGGTGTTCAACGTTAGGGATGAGGCCAGATGTCCCACTTCATGGTCATTGTCTCCAGTGTCTGTTAATTTTGACGTAAACAAAGCAGATTGCTGTCACAGACAGAAAAAGTCATTTTATATTTTTTTAATATTTTGTAGGTTTTTAGATTATTTACAAAAGTTTTCTGTATCAGTACAAAAAGAAATGTCCATATGGTTTGTTCTTTTCAATCGATGTAGGCTTAAGAAGGCTCAGTGTTTTGTTCATTCCTGAGTGGTATTACCATTGAAAATTATGAAGGAGAAAGTGTATATCATCATGTATATATAGTCTGATGTGTGTGTGTGTATCTTCCTGTCTGTGAATTTAAGTCTCTAATTGCTGTTCACATGGGAAAAACTAATGTTTCTATTATAATTTTTATATAATTTATAATATTTTTAAATGAAAGAAATATAATTGCTTTTTAAGCAGGTGATAGTTGCTAAGGGCTGAGTAATTATGTTTTGAGAATAATTTTATTATTTGCACTCATGTAGAAATTCCTGGATGTACCGTGAATGAAGCATAATAGTTGCAGCCGTGTTGCCTGTCATGAAGAAAAATAGTGAAATGGTAGTTGGAAAATGCTGGTCCCTTTTTTACTGTAAATTGCCAGTTAAATACTCCCAGTTAAAATACTATATTTTGATCTAAGCCTATGGATCATACTACGTGATCATTTTGAAGGCAAACCTGGAATTTACTGTGTTCTCCAAATAGAATATGCAAAGAGAACACCCATATAGGGAAGGATTTAGATTTCCATTGAAAAGTTGTTGTACAGTAAGATATTTATGTTTGTTTTCAATAGCTTTAGGTTGGTCTCAGCCTTGTGATGTTTGGAGCATAGGTTGCATTCTTATTGAATATTACCTTGGATTCACAGTCTTTCAGGTACGTATTTAGTAATTTTTATTTAATAATTTATGATGGGAAAAAATCTATGATGTATTTTAAGTGTTACAAGCATGTTAAGATTTTATCTTTCCTGTTGGAAAGTTGCCATGTATTATTACTGTTGAAATTAAAATGTTTATACAAATTGTCATCTCTAAAGCCACAGTTAAATGAAATTTACTCTTAGTGAAGGGTCGTAGCTCATTCTGGATGTAATTGACATGTTTAATACATGGTTCTTGTACAGCTCATAGTGTCTCATGCTCCCTTATTTTTAATTATAACTTTCCATATATTTGCATTAGTGTTGACAAGACTAATTTTTTTTTTTTTTGGTACCGGCGATTGAACTCAGGTCCTTGTGCTTGACAAAACTAGCTTGAATTCATCTCTGGTTGTGTTGAATATTGTATTCTGTTTTGCGAAACAATTCAAGAAAACAGCTATTTTACTCTTAAGAATTCAGCAGTAATGTCTTGGGCATTTCTAAGTTCAAAGTAAATAGCTTCTCTGTCCTCAAGGAAGTAATGCAAAAGAAAAGGAAAGCTTTGAACGTAGCATGGCATTTCCTACAGTGGAACAGTGTAAAAAGTGTAAGGGGATCCAGGAGTAGTGAGAAACCTGGGGTGGTGTGATAAGCATCTGAAGGAGGAAGTGGTGGTTATCTGCATGAAGAGGAGTAAAGGAGCATTCTGAAGTCGGGAAGAGTCATGTTGTCAGTATCTTGTGTAGATGGGAAGGTGACAGCAGTGGGCGAGGCCTGGCTCGGCAAGGACTGTTTTGAAAGTTATTTGTTTTATCCTTGAGGTTTTTGGTTTCCAAATGGAGACAGGCCTAAAGTGGAAACAGTTTTGTGTCAAAACCATTCTTACTCTTCATTTATCCCTCCTACACTTACAATGTCCCACTTAGGAAGTGATGGTGGTGGTTGTTGGTTGTTGAATTTTTAAAATAGAAATCTTTATTTGGCAAAACAAAAATTAAAAACCCTATTTTTTTGCCCCTTAAAATTTTACTTGCATCTCAAAGTCTTGAAGCCTTCAGTGATGCACCTTCTGAAGAATAAATGAAATCAAGATGCTCCATTGTTGAGTTTTGGTTTTTTTTGTGGTGATCCCAGCTCAGTGCTGTTAAGGTTAACTGGAAGTTACGTCAATGCAGGAACAGATGCAGTTAAGAGTCACTTGAGGGGCTATGACACAAGTACAAGTGCACTGCTTGTGGGCCCCTCACTAGGCTTTTGTCTGTTTGATTGGTAGAAATCCTACTGCCAAGTACTGTTGGGGTGGTACACAGGTTCAACGTCTGGAACCATGGTTATCAGTCAGTTCTGGCAGGTGTCTGGTTTTATAGTAGTGAGCTTGCAGGGTCAAGAAAAAGTGAAGCACAGCTCATACTTTCTGACTCAGTTAAAACAAGGTGCTTCACATGATTTCATAATTGTAAGTCACTTTGAGGTCTTAAAGTACAGATTATTAACATTAATTTTAGATTTTTCATATTTTCATTCCATCCTGTAAAATAGCCTTAAATTAAAAACCTTTATTAAAATATGGAGCTAGATTTATTTCTGTTATGAATTACTGACATTTGAAGGCAACACACCAGGCACTGTAGCTAATAGCTTTAGAAAGTATTACATAGACCTTGCTGTCTAGAACAAGGATTGGCAAACTGGCCCATGGTGAGGTTGTGTCTGATGCCTGTTTTTAAAAAGGATTAGAAAGTAAAAATGTAGTAGATTACTTGGGTTTGATCCCTAGCCTTGTAAATAATAAGAGACCATTTTGTGAGCAGCCAGGTCAAATGTTCACTGTTTGGCTCTGTACTGAAAAAGTTTGCCAGCCTCTGCTCTAGAAGCTTACAATTCATTTCAGCTGTATGTTAGCAGTTTTCTTCTGTTCTACTTTAGCTAAAGGTGTATCACTGTATAGTTTAACAGTAAGAACTTTGATTTGGGTTAATGGCTAAACTTTCCTCATTCATGAGCTTATATGACTTGGAGCTAATGTTTTAGCATCTTAAATTCACATCACCACATAACATAGCTCAGGATTGTTGTGAGAATTATTGGCAGTGTATTTTCATTGCCTGGGATAATATGGGATAATAAGTGTGCTGTTTGTTGGGTAATAGAGATTAACTTTGATTAAATAGCTGCTTAAATGAGGAGGCAGTTTTCTAGTAAGCTCCGCTTACTCCTCAGCTAAACAGTGCAAGTACAAATGAAGGAAATCATTCCATTTTACATTCAACGATTGCTATCTGACCTTGCTAATCCATCCCAGAAACTTTAGTTTGTGTTTGTAGCAGATAGCACAGCTCCTGAGTTCGATCCCCAGTACCAAAAAAATAAAATAGAATATAACCAGACAGCACAGCTCATTCAGTGTTGTTCCATCTTTGGGGAATTATGTAGTGTAAATCCTGTAGCTGGCCAGTCTAGTCTTTCTATATCAGCACAATATTATCTTCCTACGTTCTCTTTTAATATGCATGTAAGAAATAGTTTTCCAAATTCTTTATTTCTACATTTTTTTAGACTCATGATAGTAAAGAGCATCTGGCAATGATGGAACGAATACTAGGACCCATCCCAGCACATATGATTCAGAAAACAAGGTAGGCATAAGATTAAAGTCCTTTGTTGGGCACATGCAGTGGCCTCTCTCCAAACTACAGAAGACCTAAAATTGTCCATAATACTTCTTCAAGGACTGTGGATTATTTTTTGGTTTTCTGTACTAGTGACACTATAATACAGCCTACCCCTTAAAGGCATGTTGTCAAAACACAGTTCACTGTTTACCTTATGATCTAATAAAGAAATGGTGGGATTTTGTTGCACTTGAGTACAATTTGCATAAATATTTTCTTATGTTGATGTAAAAATAACAGACTATAAAAAAGCTTATCTTTCTGGAGTCATACCAGTCTAAGTTGGAATTTTCTGCTGTTGCTAACCAATTATATGTCCTCTGACAAGATACTGTAGTGGTTCCAAACACAGCTTTAGCAGAGCAGTCATCTAGAGGATTAAAGATTTCTAGCCCCTGGAATCAGAATTCACAGTAGAACCGGGAGTCTTGTTTTTAAAGCTGGCATTGTTCCATGTATAATATTTGGGAAGAACTTAGTTGGGATGTTAAATTGGAGGGGTGGAAGGTAGAGCAACACATTATTTGGGGTGTCATATAATTGTTAGTTTTTAAAAAATTGTAAGCAGGTGTGTCTATGTATCTAGAGAGATGCTGTACTTCCATCTATCCCCCATCCCCCTGTTGGGGAAGGGTAAAGATGGTGGGTCTTTTATTTACTAATTTGGACTTCTTTTGCCTTATAGGAAACGCAAGTATTTTCACCATAACCAGCTAGATTGGGATGAACATAGTTCTGCGGGTAGATACGTTAGGAGACGCTGCAGACCACTAAAGGTAAAAGAGGAAAAAGTTAACATTAAGAAAATAACATTTACACTATTCTTATCTTTTTTAACAAAAAATATTTTTCCTCTCAGGAATTTATGCTCAGTCATGATGAAGAACATGAGAAGCTGTTTGACCTGGTTCGAAGAATGTTAGAATATGATCCAACTAAAAGAATTACCTTGGATGAAGCATTACAGCATCCTTTCTTTGATTTATTAAAAAAGAAATGAAAGTCAGTGGTCTTACTATGTGCTTCTCTAGAAGAGATTTCCTTAAGACTGTGTCAGTCAGCATTCTCATATTTTTGTAAACATTAAATTATTTTGTACAGTTAAGTGTAAATACTGTATGTTTTGTATCAGTAGCATAATTGCCTTGTTCAGCAAGTATGGTCTTGATAATGAATGAAATGTAAAAGGTAAAAATAATTGTTTTTCTTTTTTTTTTTTT